ATCTGGGTTTATTACATCATGTAAGTAGTCTTTAAATGCTCGAAAGAAATTTTTCTTCGTAAAAAGGTCTGTTACATTATGAATGCATGGTATGTAAATATAATATAAATAAATAAAATTTGAAATAATTTATCTTTTTGAATTGCTCAAAAACTTCGAATCTTTTTTTATACAGTGACTTTTTTTATACAGTTCATCGATGTTTTAAGTTTCCATCGGATAAGAATTATACTGACTGTTTAATGTATTACAGAATGTTTTCAATATATTATATAATATTGCTGAAGGTTATGCAAATAAACAATGATAACAATAAGGTAGTAGATATTAAACTGACTACACTGGCTGTCTATTAGATTTGTTAAACTATATTTATTGACGTTTCGACCATACGGGCTGTGGTCCTTTTCAAAATTACACACTGTACAGTGTGTTCAGTCGTGGCAAGATGACACAAGTGAAACGCAGTTAATTTACCATCCGATCTTAAGTTAAGTCTCACCGGAGCGTACTTTTAAATGTCAATAACGATATGCAGTAACTCATTAATGCTTCTATTGTAATTTTGAAAAGGACCACAGCCCGTATGGTCAAAACGTCAATAAATATAGTTTAACAAATCTAATAGACAGCCAGTGTAGTCAGTTTAATATCTACTACCTTAGTATTTCTTTCCTGGCGAACGAAATTTAAAATTTAATATTTTATTGTTAATGATAACAATATTTGAAAAATTTTTAAGATGATTGGATTGCGAGCTTGTGCAGATGTTCATTCGAAGATTCGATAAAGCACAACCGACGGAATTTAAGAGACCGTAACTGATTTAAGTATCCTTCGTGTATCCAAGCCGGAACAGTGCTTCACAAAAGCCTGCTAGAGGGCAAAATAAAATGCTATAATGTTTAAGGCTACACAAAAGCAAATGTCATTCTTAAGTAAATGATTAAGAACAGTTTTTGTGGTGACGTCAGATGCCAGTACGTCTTGAATTTTCGCTGTAAACGCATTCTGCTCCGTCAGGGCCATCCTGCGAACACACCAATTTTCTTCCTCTCGAATGGTCTGGAAGTGGCCGGATCCTGGTCTTTTGCTTGCAGTGCCTTCCAGGGATCATTGCCTCTAACAATTGAATACGGTGAAGGTGTCTCGACCTATTTTTATCGTAATTGCTCAAGATGAAAATCCATCCTCTCCAAAGCTTTCCACATGGCCTCGTTCAAATTGAGTTAAGGATGTTTGGGAGATACAATCGGAGACAACAGTATCAACGCTATTCATCTTATAGAAAATCACAGTAGTTTAATGTCCTAACTTTCAGCTGTTTTCAGCGTTGACTCAACCAAATGCTTAGAAATCGGAAAAAGAGCCAAATTCAACAAATTATTATTTTCTTATAAATGGTTTAGTGAATGTTAATGTAATTTTGCAACATTGTGTTTTTTAAAGTTCCAGTTATACATGTAAAAAATTTAAAATACATAGTACCATTTTTTCGAGATCTTTAACGTAATATAATCAATCAGAGTAATGAATTTTTATAAGATTATATGTAAAAGTAGCAGAAATTTAATTTGCAATAACTTTTAAATAAGTTAATAAATTAAAAACGAAATGTTAACAGTAGTTGTAATATCAAAATAGAAGCAATCTACGTAATTTTTATAAATTTTGTACCATTTTTAGATGTCTCCCATACATCCTTAATTGCTGATATGCAGCACGTTATTGTTTTTGAATGCACAATTGTAATACACGTTAAGGTAGTTCTATCGCTACAATATCAACTAAAAGTTTCGCCTCTAATCGATAAGGAAATTCATCGTTTATACAATGTTACCGTAGCAACAATTTTAGTTGAGTCTGTACAGTCTGAACCTCTTCACATAGAAACAGCTCATGTATGAATACACATCATCATCGCAATTTCTCTTCATGTTCCATTTGGAAAAAAATTCATTTCTTTAAAAAGTAATATCTTTGAAACTAAACAGTGGAAAAAATTTATTTTTTTTTTAAATAATCCCACACTCATATTGTATATCCCACTGGTTTTTTATTAAAATCGTAAGATCTGTTCTATTGTTATATATTAAAATGTGATGAAAATGCCATTTTTTCACGTGGTGTATAGAAAAAATGCTATTTTTAATTGTAAATAACTGTTAAACTAAACGGTGAATTGACTTCAAAATTTTGTAATCGATAGATATTAAAATTTCTACAACATATTAAAATTTCTAAAAATTCGTAAGAATTGTGAAAAACGATAGAACTACCTTAACACAGTTTTTCACAGTGACACTAACGTTTACGAACAATTTCATATGTGTCTAATGGAAAATTTTATTCTGCATTCGCTATGGCGTTACAAGCACATCTTACGAGTTGTCAACTCATTCTAGTCAGTCTAGTCTGTCAAACCGACCATTTATATTCTTATTAGAAATGCAACCAATAATATATTCGATCGAATACCAAATACCGAATATTATGCAAGATTATATGCCGAATAATCAAATATTCGACAAATATATTAGCAAAACGCAAATTTTTTCAGAAGCGAGTGATATATATATATATATGTGTGTGTGTGTGTGTGTGTGTGTGTGTGTATCACCCGCTTTTGAAAAAAATTGCGATATATATATATATATATATATGATGAAAAAAGGAATATACTATTTCCTTCCAAATGCAAGAGGCTCCCTGTATTGAGACCTTATCGCTCTTTAATTTTAATTATAATGATTAATTTTAAAATTATTAGTGTGTTTCAAACACATTTTATGTAACAATAAATAAATTTTTATTTATTGTAATTTTATTAGATATATAAACAAATAGATTACATACTCGAACATGTACTCGCGGCAAAGGTGGCAACGGTTAAATAGTTACTATTTCTTTCCAGTTTTACATTTATCATCCATAACGAAAACAGTGATATAATCTAGTAGTACACCCTTATAAAATATATTAAAACGACACGTAAACGTAATCGAATGAATCGAAATTTGGTGTGTTTTTAGAGAAAGAATGTACTATATAAATATTCCGCGTAAAGATTTTTCAATGTTTTTACATTATGTGCTACATATTTACAAAGTCTTATTTTGAGACAAATTATATATGCTTTTTCCAGATAAAATAAAAATAAACATATGTATTCTTTCATCTACATTTTTATAAATTAGAAATATGGATATTAATCTTTACAGAATTCCCTTCTTTAGTTAAGAAAAGTCTATTATTGGTGCATATCTTATAATGGTGTATTCAGAAAATAAGTGGAAATATATATAATAAAAAAATACAATTTTCACAATTTATCGAAATTTAAATTGCTCGAAAAGCGTGCGTAAAAATCGTATCATAAAATAACAAATACAGGATTAATATAGATAAACTCAATAATTTTTTAAAATCTAAAATGCATTTTTACGGAATATAAAATCCGTGGCCTAAAAATTATGTACATTAAAGAAGTCATATAAATATACAAAATATGTAGTTGATATTACAAATTACATAATTCTTAAAGAATATATATGTATCTCTTTTACATAAATTGATTCTCCTCAATATTTGGCCATGGAAATATTAAGGAATAATTATTAAGAAAATATATTATATAAGATTTTTTGATTTAAAAATGTATCTTCTAAAGAATTCTTAACCATTTTAATCTTTATACCTTTTAAGTATAATTTTTAAATATTACGAGGACTCAATTTATGTTAAAAAAATTAAGATGGTTCTACTTTAAAAATAAAAAGAATCTTTAAATCTCTTAAGCATCCGCACATGAAAGAAAATGTTCATCTTTGCAAGACGTTTCCCTTGAGATCATTGAACTTTTACTTGAAATGTTTTTATTATTTTCAAAACTGCGGGAATTATTCGAGTGGCCGATTTTAAGTAACTCAATGTATATTTCAATATATATATATATATATATTTAAATTTTATATTTATATTTATATTACATGCAATATATAAACATTTTATAAATATTATTTATACATACATTTATTCTTTTACACTTATTTTTAGATCCATTTGTTACAATGTTTGGTAGATCGTGTTGAAGACTTACAGATTAAATCTTTATATATATAAATTACGTGTCACGTTGTTTGTCCGCGATGGACTCCTAAACTACTTAACCGATTTCAATCAAATTTGCACACGGTGTGCACTTGGATCCAACTTGAAACATAGGATAGCTTACATCTCAATTTATAGTCGCAATATTATTTTATTGCAAATTATTTGTTTATTATTATATGACAGTCACAATTATCTGTTATCTCCACTGTTGTCACAGATGGCGATATCTGTTGACTGGATTGTCATTTACTATGTACTTTTCAAAGTAAATATTATTATATGACAGTCACAGTTATCTGTTATCTCCAAACGATTGTCACAGATGGCGATATCTGTTGACTGGATTGTCATTTACTATGTACTTTTCAAAGTAAATGACTTTCCTATTTTGTTTTGCGCGGTGACTTCGTGAACAAAGCACGTATACATCGACAAAAACGACACCAAGTTCGTGTTGTCAGTCCCGATTATTCCTCCGAAATAGTTGCTGTAAAATTCGTGGAAATTATTCCTGCTTTTTAATTGTTAGTGCCTCATTGTTCAAAACAAGATATACATGTAAGTATTATCACATAGTTGCTATGCATCAAATCACACTGTGTATGATATGTGTATTTTTATGGTCATGAGGTATTTTATTCAACCTATATTAAAAATTATTTTGCACTCCTTATTTCAATGTGCTATAGTAGCATGTTTTACAGTTTTATTTTTAATATTTAAACGTTTAAATTTTTATTTAAAGTCGAATGCCACCGAAAAAATCGAACCTCAGCAACGCGCGGAGCAGAGAGGCACGACGCAAACGTGCTGAAAGAGCTCATCTGTCGACAGAACAAATCTCAACAAGGAATGCAGCTCAAAACATCAGGACAGCGAGGGTCGTGCACAAGAATCTCAAGAACAGCGTGACGAACGTCTGCGACAGACTATTGCGAGAACAAGAGCGGCACGAGAACAAAACATAGCTACAGCACGAGCACAAGAACGACAGAGGCAGCGGACCAGCCGCTCATTAACATGTGCATCATTTGTTCGTCTTGCTTTCGAATATGCACCAAATATTAACTACTCTGCGCATTCAAAAATTGCTATCGGTGCAATGGATAAAGTATGTCAATATTGTCAGGCATTGAAATTTCAGAATGAAACACCCGGCATGTGCTGCGCATCAGGAAAAGTTGTGCTGTCATCTCTTCCTACTCCGCCGGAACCTTTATTATTCCTTCTTGCTGGCGATTCAGATGATTCAAAATTATTTTTGCGTAAGATACGCAAATTTAATTCTTGCTTCCAAATGACGTCATTTGGGGCAACTAAAATTTGCGATCTCGCATCCGATGGACGTAATTTTGAAACTACATTCAAAATACAAGGCCAGGTGTACCATAAAATCGGGTCATTGATGCCAATGCCTGATAATGATCCGAAATTTCTTCAAATTTATTTTATGGACAATTGTGAAGAGCGCGTGACAACTCGGTGCCAGTATAATTTCATTGAACAAGCAGAGGAAAGAGCAATTGTGATATTGCTGGAAAATTTTTTAGAAGATCAGAATCAACTAATTCAATTGATTAAAAGAGTTTCGCCACGATTGCAAAATGACAACTATCAAATCGTCATAAAAGCCGACAAAGTCCCATTAGGTGAACATGCTGGCAGATTCAACGCTCCAACTCTTGATGAGGTTGCTGTTATTATGGTTGGTGATCCAGTTGACAAAAGAGCTATAAAAATTACACGGCGAGACAACACTGTTAGTACGATTTCGGATCTACACCGTTCATATGACGCACTGCAATATCCATTAATATTTTGGCAAGGACAGGATGAATATCACCTTAACATCAAACAGTGTGATCCAAATACCGGTAAATTTGACTATTAACTATTTATTTTCTTACTGTATGTACGATTTTTAATTTCTTATTTTAATTTATTTCTTATTTTTTTTTAGGTGCTCAAAGAGATAAAAAAGTTAGTTCAATGAACTACTACGCACACCGATTGATGATTAGACATAATCAGGACAACTACATCCATCGATATCGTCAGCTATTCCATCAATACATTGTTGATATGTATGCTAAGGTTGAAAGCGAACGCTTGCGATTCATTCGATACAACCAGGCTAAATTACGATCGGAAGAATACATTCACTTACGAGATGCTGTTGTTGGAAACATCGACGGAAATTTAAACCCCAATGACATCGGTAATGCTTTCATTTTACCTTCAAGCTACATCGGCAGTCCACGGAACATGCAGGAATACATACAAGATGCGATGACTTACGTACGTCATTACGGCCGACCAAATTTGTTTATAACATTTACATGCAATCCGAATTGGAAAGAGATACAAACTTTACTATTACCAGGACAAAAAGTAATTCATCGTCATGATATAACTGCACGTGTGTTCAAACAAAAATTGAAATCCTTAATTGATTTTATTGTTAAATATTCAGTTTTTGGTATCACACGTTGTTGGCTGTATTCGATTGAGTGGCAAAAGCGAGGTTTGCCTCATGCCCACATTTTAATTTGGCTTCAAGATAAAATCCATCCAGAAGAAATTGATCAAATAATTTCAGCTGAAATTCCAGACCGATCAATTGATCAAGAATTATTTGATATTGTTACCAAACACATGATCCACGGGCCGTGCGGTGCTTTCAACATGACATTACCATGCATGGAAAATGGAAAATGTAAGAAAAATTTCCCAAAGCCGCATACGAATGACACTATCACGGATATTGACGGTTATCCAATGTATCGACACAGAAATACTGAGAATGGTGGCCACACATTCACGATGCGACTGCCGAATTCTACAAATCAAGTAGAATTTGATAATCGGTGGGTGGTACCATACTCACCATTACTTTCAAAAACTTATGAGGCTCATATCAATGTCGAGCTTTGCAGTTCTGTAAAATCAATTAAGTACATTTGTAAATATGTAAATAAAGCCAGTGATTTGGCCATGTTTGGAGTACAAAATGTAAATGAAAATGACGAAATTACACGATACCAAATGGGTAGATACATCAGCAGCAACGAAGCTATTTGGCATATTCTTAGCTTTTCCATACACGAAAGAGACCCTGCTGTCCAGCATCTAGCAATACATCTTGAAAACGGTCAACGTGTATACTTCACTGAAGAAAATGTTCTCCAAAGAGCGCTTGAGGCTCCAAAAACGACACTAACTGAGTTTTTTACATTGTGTCAAAGATCTGACATTTTTGGCCAATTCGCAAAGACATTGATATATACTGATGTTCCACGTTATTTCAGATGGAACAAATCTGGTAAAAAATGGGTGCCACGAAAACAAGGAAAACCACATCCTTCCGTTACAGGCATATTCAAAGCTAAGACATTGGGGCGACTTTACACGGTAAATCCAAAGCAACGTGAGAGCTTCTATTTACGTTTATTATTGGTGAATGTTCCCGGACCAACGTCTTTTGAATTTCTGCGAACAGTCAACGGCCGAGTATTCAATACATACCAAGATGCATGTCGTGAACTGCAATTGCTAGAAGACGATAACCATTGGGACTTAACGCTTGCTGATGCTGCGTTGACATCAACGCCCAATAACATTCGTCAGCTGTTTGCAATTATTTTGACGACATGTTATCCATCACAAGCACACACTTTGTGGGAAAAATATAAAAATTGTATGACAGAAGACATATTGCACCGAATTAGACAAACAGATCAATGCCAAAACATAGATTATACGCCTGAGATGTATAATGAAGCGTTAGTGTTGATCGAGGATTTATGTGTTTTAATTTCAAATTTACCACTTAATCATTATGGTATGCCATTACCTGCTCGTCCAGCCGCCGACTTAGTCAATACCGATTTACAACGAGAAAAACAATATGACCATCGTAATTTAGCAACAATTATCGTGAACAGTGAGCCACTACTGACAGCAGAACAAAAAATTATTTATGATCGGATTATGCTGGGTGTTGCTGCTGAACAAGGCGGTTTTTTTTTCTTGGACGCACCAGGTGGAACCGGTAAGACATTTTTAATATCGTTGATTCTTGCCAAAATACGGTCACAACAGAAAATCGCATTGGCAGTCGCATCGTCTGGCATTGCGGCTACTTTGCTAGATGGTGGGCGAACGGCACATTCAACATTCAAGCTGCCATTGGACATTCATAATAAGCCAAACGCATTATGTAACATAAAAAAGAATAGTGGAATAGCTGCAGTGTTGCGGAAGAGTTCACTCATAATTTGGGATGAGTGCACAATGGCACACAAATATTCACTTGAGGCATTGCATAGAACTATGCAAGATTTAAAAGGCAATGATAAACTTTTCGGTGGTGCTATCTTACTATTATCTGGTGATTTCCGACAGACCTTACCGGTTATACCTCGCTCTACTTTCGCGGATGAGATTAATGCATGTTTAAAACAATCATTCTTATGGCGAAGTGTTGAAACACTTCGATTGACTATAAATATGCGCATACAATTGCAAAATGATCCATCAGCACAAATATTTTCCGAACAATTACTAGATATTGGGAACGGTAAAATAGAACTGCAACCAAATACGCAATGCATTAAACTGCCAGACAATTTCTGCACTGTTCTTCACGGAAAAAATGAATTGATTCAGAGTATTTTCCCGGATATACAGAGTAATTACTTGAATCATAACTGGCTCAGTGATCGGGCTATTTTGGCAGCCAAAAATGTTGATGTTGACGAAATTAACTTCCAGATACAACAGTTGTTACCAGGCGATCTGATGTCTTTTAAATCAATCGATACTGTTGTTGATGAAAATGAAAGTGTAAATTTCCCAATTGAATTTTTGAATTCACTGGATATACCTGGAATGCCACCACATAATCTTCGATTAAAGATTGGTTCACCTATCATTCTTTTGCGTAATTTGAATCCACCTCGATTATGCAACGGTACGCGTTTGGTCATCAAAAAAATCACCGGAAATATTCTTGAAGCAACCATTTTAACTGGAAAGTTTAAAGGAGAAGTGGTCCTGTTGCCACGTATTCCAATGATACCGTCAGATTCTACGATACCCTTCAGAAGGCTACAGTTTCCAATTCGTTTAGCTTTTGCCATGTCCATAAATAAGTCTCAAGGTCAAACAATGTCCATTTGTGATTTAGATTTGGAAAATCCATGTTTTTCTCATGGGCAACTATATGTTGCATGTTCACGTGTAGGAAAACCGTCGAATCTATTTGTGTTAGCTAAAGACAGGTTAACCAAAAATATTGTGCACCGATTAGTGCTAAATTGAATTGAAAGTAAAAGTATTTATAATTCAAAATAATATATTTTATTGCTACAAATTTAAAACTATCTGCCCTACCTACCTCATTTATAAGTTTAAGTGTCACATGTTATTTACTAACAACTTTGTAATATACTCATTTGTTACAAACTTGAATAACAAAAATAATAAAATTTAAAATTAATTCTTTTGTATTGATTTCTACTTAATATCAACTGTACAAAAATTTTGACCAATCGTGTTCAAAGTCCATCCTCTTCAAATCCCAATTCAGTCGATTTTTATACCAGCTTTAAGGTTTCTGTCTTCGTTCGTAAATATTAATTTCATTATATTAAGAAGTAACGGTAGTAGAAAATCAGTCATGGAGGTCACCATGTTTTTTTACAAATGGCATCTATGTAAAAAAGCATAGTGATCCCCATGTTTGATGTTCTTCTAACTTTCTCCGTGAATAGTTTACTACGAGCAATGTAATATAATATTTAAAAATGAATTTGTTTATGTGTTCGGGCTTTATGCGTTCGCGCATCATTCAACTAATTAAGTTAAAACTTGGTACAGTTGTTGTTGGCACTTGCGTAAAGGTTTCTGACGTAGTACCAACAATGTATAATAGGGGGCGCGCGAGATGTCGATTGAATAATTCACTTCTAATCCGTAAGATCAATCACATTATTATCTCGAGCGAAGCCGAGACAGGGCATACTAGTAATGATATAAGTTTTATTAAAGATCATCGAAAACTCCGCCTTGTATCTCTTTCAAATTATTTGCGCAAATATATATTCTAGTACGGTAGTCAGTGTCAAGGCCGTGAAGAGAGCCGTTTTCCAACTTTTCAAATGGATTTATAGATATGTCCAACGTAGCAAGACTGCCCAGATTGTTGCAAGCGCCCTTGCGAATCTTTGATATGTTATTTTCCGAGAGCGAGAGGAGCTTTAACCGACCCAAACCTTCGTAGCTATCGCCTTCAATGGTCGTCAAGAGATTTTTATCCAAATACAGACTCGTGAGTGTGGATAGATTAAAAGCGCCGCGTTTTATTTTTGTGATTCTGCTTCCAGTCAATGACAAAGTATCTTTCGGGATTCGAACAAAATTGCCTTCCTCGAGCACTTTAATATCATTATAATCCAGGAGCAATAAACTAACGGATGACGGAAGATCGGCGAACATGGCTTTCGTGATGTTGTTATTAGTGAGATCCAGATACGTCAGGGACGTCAATCCGGCGAAGGTGTTTATCGGCAGTTCACGTAAAGAATTGCTATGCAGATCGATCATATGGAGATTCCTCAGATTCCTCTAAAAGCGGAATGCTCGATGGTCAATATATTATTGCCCCTCAAATTCAACATTTGCAAAGATTTTAAACCTTGAAAAACATCAGTCTGCAATGCTTTGATTTTGTTGTAGTTGAGATTTAAAGAGATCAGACGACAGAGCTTGGAGAAAACACCGTTAGGAATAAATGCTATGTGATTTCCGCTCACAACAAATCCCTCCAAAGTATCCGGTAGACTGGTGACAAAGTCGAAACTTTTCAGCTGATTACTATCCACATATAGTTCCCGTAAGTTCGTTCTTTTAAATGCATCCTCTTCAATTTTTTTGATCAGATTGTAGTTAAGGTTAATGGTCTTCAGATAATAATTTTCGATCACTTGACTACGGATTCTATGGATATTGTTGCCTAGAAGGTTTACATACGTCAGATCAACCGGCAAACTGTTCAGCGTCTCTTTTATAATCTCGGTGATATTGTTGCTCGACAGATCCAATGAAAAAATTGGCAGCGATTGCAACTGATACCAATTCTCCTGAAAACCTCTGATATCCTGCTCCCTAAGATCTACTTGCCTCTCAGATATGTTGACAAATACTTGAATGCATCCTTCAACGAGCTCTTCATCTTTCTTAATGACCGCCAATGTTGTCACAATACCATCCAATTTGCAGATTTTTATTCGAGTGTCCTCGTTAAGAATTTTAACGATCACTGGAGGCATGAATAGCCATTCTATATTGCATTTATCCGCACAGTCGTCATTTCTTCTTTTCTTCTCCTCTTTACAGTTCTGTAGAAAAGCCAGGTCGTTTCTAATTATCGTCACTAGTGTCTTCCGTTTCTTTTCCTTGAAGGAGGAATTAGCAAACATGTCTGTGCTAATCATCCGAAACTTATTTTCGTTGGTGAGAATCTTGACGGATCTGGTGAGACCAAATAGTTCTCCTTGCCATAAACTTTCAATAAAATTACAGGAGATATCCAGTAATTGCAGATTCTTTAGACCGACAAATAGATTTTTGGTCTTTGATAATTGATTACCTGACAGTGACAGGCTCCTCAATCTCGATAGATTGGAAAAGACAAACTCCGGCAGAGAAGTTAACGAATTGTTGGCTAAAATGAGCGACTTCACATCGAGCACATAATTGAAAACGGTTTTTTCCAATCCGCGAAGAGAAGAATTTGACAGGTCTACTACCGTATGATTTGAATCTTCAACAAATCGAACGTCCGTTAGGATGTCGTTACGGACATCTAGAATTAAATTTGTTGGTGTTTCGATGATCATTTGTGAATCGAGTGGCGCACTCGCCACTAGAGGCAGCAAACATGCGACGAAAAGAAGCATGGCAATGTTTCCTAAAACAGTTGATAAAATTTTTGTTTCTTTTATAAAATAATATCTCTCGCGTTTCTACTTATTGATCGCCTTTTTAATATTCATTTTCTATATATTGATATCCCATATATTTATTAGAGACAGTTTCTGGTTTGAACAATAATTTTATTACAGAATTAATGATAAGTCTAATACGCGCACACAAAATATGTATAAAAATAGCTCGATGTTTTTTTATGTTTAAAAACAGTTGATAAATTTTTTGTTAGTTTTATAAAATAATATCTTTAGTGTTTCTACTTATTGATCCCATTTTTAATATTCATTTTCCATATTTATTAGAGACAGACACTGACTTGAACATTAATTTTAATGCAAGACTAATGAGAATTTTAATACGCCAGAAATATTATATGTAGATATAAAACTCATTCCATGTTTTTGTTATTTTAATTTTTCATTTTCTTTTCAAAGCTTTGTCGACTTACAACATAAGCACGGACAACCTCAGCGTTTGACAGATATTTGGATTCTTGTAGATTAACTTTGCGCAATGTCCATTTGTTTTAGTATTTTAAGTCGTCAGTGTTTAAATATTTTTTCTTTTATTGCGACTATATTTTGATTAGTAAACAAATTTTACACATGATGTTTTATTAATTGCGGAATTTTTTGTTTGTTGAAGATGACCCAAAAAAGGGTCAAAACGTCTAGACATAATTCAGATTTTTATTGTAATAAATTATAAGTAACGAAATCACATCCTTGTTTTATACTCGTCATAGCTCTTTTTTATCAATATTAAATATTAAAATAATTAAGGTCGTGTAAATATTCTTTTTTTAAAACATATTAGAATCTGACGATCCTTCGACGGGTTATGATGTTTAATGTTTCGCTTTGTTCTATTGATTGACCTATATAATTTCAAGAAATGTTATTGACAAAATTTGTATAATAATGCATTAACTTTATTTTAATTCATTTGTAAGTATGGTTTCCAGTTTTTATTGATATGTTTATTTGTGAATTTTTTATGTACGTTAATAACTATTTATGTAATAAAATATTTTAGTGTTTCACTTGATAAGGACCACAATCACATAGTCGAAACGTCGTAAAGCTGAATAAATTATTTACTCGCTAGTTTGGTCAATTAGTTTCTACAACTCCTATTTAAATACTAGTGACTGCTATTAATAATTTTAGGAATTTATATATTAGATGTGTTAAATAAAAATCTTAAATATTTTTTCTTTCGAAATTTATTGAATACATAATATGTACATTTACATTATTTTCTAATGTAGCCTCCATGGTGAGTAAAACAATTGTTTCAGTTTTTGAAATACACGGATGACTTTAGAAAAAACTCTTTTACCTGAAGGCATAGGCATTCATGCACTGCCAGCTTCATCCCTTTGTCAGACTTTTGCCTCCCATCGTTTTTTTAAGTGTTTTTTATGTCCTTCGCATTTGGCACACCTTGCCGTATCAGTAATTTTTGTCTTTAGTCCGCTAAAATAAAAGGCAAGTTTTGGACAGTCGACTTTAAACATGTAAAAATTATAAAAATGAAGAAATTTACTATATTAGGACTAATAAAAAATAAAAAAAATTCTATTAAATTCGCTTATTTAATATCAGTTGTGTGATACATAATCGTTCCTCTAGTTCGACGAAGAGATGAAGCAGACGGTACATGTGTGAGTGCCTATAGGCTCTTAGATAAAACATTTTTTCCAGAGATATCCCTGCACTTCTTCAGAGCTAGAACACTTGTATTGCACATTATGGAAATTACGTATAAAGGTAATATAAAAGTGTGTACCTTTTGAATTCAATGAATTACAAGATAAAAAATATTTTAGGTTTTCAATTGACTCATTTAAAAATAAGATTTAGAAAGACAGGGCCAACCATAACGAGCATATTAAATTAGTTAGAGATGTAATGTCAACACATAATTACTTTATTTGTTAGTATATACAATGATATTAATAAAAAATAAACGTTTCGGCTGTTACCTCAGCTTTCTTCAGTAAATATATAAAAAATAAAATTAAGAATTATTACGCATTAGAGTCTATTTTGTAATGAACCTTTGGTTTGATGAGTCATTAAATTTATATTGGGTGACGCTTATATCATTTATTAAAATTAGATATTGTTTTTGATCGGCTAACCATTTTTTAACTGAGATGGTAACTTTGAATATGTCAAAAAACATGCAAACGAGCTCACTGTTGTTATTAGATAAAGTTGACAGTCCATTCCACGTCATCAATCCTTTTGCACATTATTAGTTGAGAATATCATCAGAACTGCTTAATATGAGAATTGAAACAATTAGATGTTATCCAGCATCAAAAAGTTAGTCCCCATCATCAAGCATATTTCCGAATAGGTTCATCATTGTAGTGTATTTCACCGTGTTTGTCTAAGTATATTTTTATTTTTTGGTATATTAATTTATATTAATTAGTTATTTTTTATATAAAAGATCTTGATTATGATTAAAAGTGCTTACTTAAATTGATGAGTAGTCAAGATTCCGTCAAGTCAATGTGTTCATTATACAGTGTCACAATATGATATGTCCAATTCAAACCGTGACTCCTATTATTATTATTATTTATTTATACGACAATTCTTCTAGAATGTCAAAATATGACTCGTCAAGCATATCGGTATCTTTTTTTAAGTTTAGACCGTTTTTTTGTTCCTTTATATGAATTTCAGAAACATTTCTTTTCTGAAAATTAGATTCGGAATCTAAAATTTTTATGTCTTCCCAATCAAATGAGTGTTGGTAATTAAGAATATGTTCCGAGATGACCGAGTGTCTTGACGAATCTAACTTTATATTATTTACATGTTCTTTAACTCTCGTTTTAAATTGTCTTTTGGTTTGGCCAACATATGTCGCATCGCAATCGCGACATGAGATCTTATAAATAACATTGGAATTAGTTAAAAATTGATTTTTATCTTTATGAACCTTGATAAATCGATTGAGAGTTTATTAAGACAACGATAACCTATGGTCATTTCTGATTTTTTGATAGATGATGCGATTTTGTCAGAAATGTTATCCACATAAGGAATAACAAAGAATTTCTTTTTTTCATTATCTCCAACTATTTCAGGAACCTTAGTTATATTATTATCATTAGTCAAGATATTTAAATAGATGACTCATTTAATATATGCATTTAGTATATGTATGTACATATATGTATATATAGGATGGTCCACATAAAGTGTTATAAACTATATTTTCTCTAACACTGATAGAAATATTAATAGAATAAAAAATTTGTTTTTAATCGAATGGGACAAAGTTCCTGAAAATGTAATAAATATGAAAAATGTTCAGATCTTTTAAGGAATAACAGGGCAATGCCCCTCTTATTTTTCTCAAATAGAACCAGCAAAAATTTCTCATATATGTATTATATATCGATAATCGATTGCGTTTTTAGTTGCGATGAACAATAGTAAGGCAAGATAACCAAAATGTATTAATTGTTTACGAGATATTTTATAGTTTACGTAAACTTATGTCACATTAAAGTACAAAATATTTAGTGAACCATTCGCTTTTTGGTTATCTTACCATTATTTATGGTAAATATTGCAAGGAATCGATTTACATAAAAAAATGATAGTGGTACTATTAAAAAAATAAAAGACCTTAATCTTTTGTTCTTTAATGCCCTCAATAGTTTTCTTATCCATCAAATTTTTAGACACTGTGTTCCAATTGATTAAAAAATTTAAATTAATATTTCTAGCAATAGCGAAAAAACAGCTTGTAACACTTTATGTGGGTCACATATAAGAGATGTAATTAATTATATCTTTTTGTACTTAATCATGATAAGATATTTTCCGCAATACGCATGCATAACTTTAATATCGTTGTTGACACAATTTTTTCATGGTTAGGAAAGAGCAGGTTTCGATTGAGTTTCATGTTGATACTAACAATAGGTAACCATAATTTTGTTTCACTGATGGCAATTTAATATATAGTGTAAAAGTTTTAGACACATGTCCATATATATATCAATTTTCGTTGCAAAATTCTATTTGATTAATATGTAGCAAATAATCTGATTCACGCATATCACTATAGTAAATCACATAAAAAACACACGTTTCACTTGCCAATTATTTTGCAAAATCAATTAAAATCAGTCAAAGAGAATCGACACCGGAGATTCCTTCAGAATGAGATAAAAAATCACGATAATAAATCTTTCAGACTTTTATGGAGTCCTGTACGAATCTCATAGAGATTCCGCATGCACAGATTCCTTGATTTGTATGTGAAAGAGAGATGCACGTTTTCTCTCGGGAAGCTGTTTCGTATAAAAAAAAGGATTCAAACATTTATCTATGATGATACGTTTGTTAAATCCAAATTGATACTCACTTGTGATGATGTATCCGTTGACGAGTTTCAAAGAAAATGAATATGCAACACGAGCCTTGTGCATATATAACCTTCCTCGGAATTATATCACTTGACGCGTCAATCGACCGATTACTCTAATTTCCGTTACTCTAATTTCACGCACAAACAGTGTAATCACAAACTTAATATATCATTCAATGCTTTTGAAATACTCATATGTAAAAAACAAGTTGTACTCTTGTGCATAAAAATGATTGACCAACGAGGAACAAGTATATAGCCAATATATTAATATATTAACAATATATTAATATATCAAACAATATATTAATATATCAACCAGTCCACATTTGTATTTGTATTTCACATATATATATATATATATATATATATATATATCAGTTTTTTCAATATTATTATTTTAAAATAATATTCCTATTCCTATAATTACTATGTAAATATTTATGCCTAATATTTTTTCTATTACGCGCTAACAAGAATGTCACAAATCAGTTTGGTTAATATGTTTGCTTAAATATAGAGAATCACTTTATTTCATGTACGAAAAACTATAGTCAAAAATTATTTTGTTTAACGCGGGTTTCACACCTCTTTACTTTTATTACTTTATAGAAATACTCTTCAAATGCTCGAAGGGAATGTTTCTTCGTTAGTTAAACGATTTGTTTGCATTATAAATGCATAAAATGTAAATATAAGTAAATGAAATTTTGAACAATTTGTTTTTAAAATTGCTCAAAAGACTTCAAATATAACCTGACCTAACCTAACCTGATGTCTGTGTGAAGTATATACCCAGTGAGAAATGATGATTGAATCGACGTCGATTCGTTGTCGAATCGATGTCAAATTCGACCATTCTCACTGGGATATTAATCTGTATGAATGTTACATTAAGATCGTGCTTTAAATATTTCAGAGCATATTTTTATACATTTTGCATTAATGATCTTTTATTACTTTTTTTTACTATTCCGTTGCTATTTGTCGATTAAATGTTTTCTAGAAATTGTCATCATCCAGGAACATTTTTTGCTTGCAAAATAATCGATTAATAGCGTTTTTATATCATAGAAGATTAAATTACATCACAACATTTAAACAAACAATTTAAGCTGTAATAAATAAAAATTAAGTAGTGTTGAATTAAAAATTTGACATATGACTTTTTTATATAGCCGATGTTTTAAGTTTATATTGGATAAGAATCATACTGGCTGTTCAATGTATTGTAGAATGTTTTCAATATATTATATAATATTGCTGAAAGTTATGCAAATAAACGATGATAAGAATATAAAAAAAATTTCTAATGTTATTTGAATGCGAGATTATGGCAATATTTGAAAAGTCGATCAAAGATTTGATGAAGCATGACTGATTTTGAAGGACCATAACTGACTAAATAAGTATTCAAACTCGTAAATAAGTATTCAAAACAGAATGGTTCCGCACAAAAACACATTAGAGGGCAGAATGGAATTCTATAATGTTCACGAAAAACTATTCAAAACGAATTTGATAATATGCAGGAGCGACAAACACGGCACAGGATGCTTACAACAAAAGCCATTTTTAAGTAAACAATTGAGAACAGTTTTTGTGGTGACATCGGATGCCACTTCGGCTTGAAATTACGTTATAGATGCATTCCGCTCCGCCAGAATCTTTTTACGAATGCGTCGATCTTCTTTCTCTTCAGTAATTCAAGAGTAGCTGGATCCCAATCTTTTGCTTGCAGTGCCTTCCAGGAATCATATTGCCGCTAACACGTTGTACACGATTGGAGACATCTTGACCTATTTTTATCGCGATTTTACAATGTGAAAATTCACTTTCTCCAAAGCTTTCCATACAGACCTGTTCAAATTCAGTTAATTTCTGATATGCAGTATGTTGTTGTTTTCGGAACATTTTGTACAATTATAGCATACGTTAACATAGCCTTTCATAGTGATACTAACGTTTAAAACAGCTCTTATGTGTCCAAGGAAAATTCTATTCTGTATTCGCCATAGCGCTACACCCACATCTGGAATTGAGATCTTATAACTGGTATCAATTGTAAATATTCATGTAAACAAACATTTCATGCATTTTTCATTTATCTAGTATAATTCTTTCTTGGTGTTAGAATTTTTATTTTGATAAATCGATCGAGTGTCATGTTAAAGTAAGCATCATAGTTCACCGTTAATGGTTATTTTCTTGGAATTTATTAATAATTTTGTTGTATTTATATATATGCGTATACGATTGTCGGATATATTGATAGTCGAAATGTCAGAAGTGTTTGAGGGAAAGATCTTGATCAAATCCTTAAATTCGTTATCTTCTATCCATTAAATACGGCGGAAGTGCGACTAACGATTTGTAAAAGTTTAATTAATTTTTAATTTCCCAACGCGGTTATAGAACGTTTTTTTTTTACACAAGAGAGTTTGTTTTCTTAAAAAATCCTACGTCGTGAGAGATAAATACAAAAATAAAGAATTTGATATTTCAAATTGTATCCCAATGCCGTATATCAAGAATTTGAGTAATACTATTGAGCGATCTATTGTAAAAGCAGGCTTAAATGTTATCTATACAATACCAAAGAAATTAGATTATGTAATAAAAAAAGAAAAAGACAAACTTCCCAAAGCGGAGATGACTGAGGTTGTATATAGACTTGACTGCAATGATTGCAACGCTACATACATCGGACAGACTAAAAGACCTTTAAATACTCGTATAAAGGAACACATGAATAACATAAAAGTGCATAATAGTAACCATAACGTAATAAGCAAACATAGAAGTGAATTTTTACACGACTTTAAATGGACAACCTTTAATATTTTACATCGGGAAATACATACGAGAAAAAGAGAGTTAGCAGAAATGTTCTACATTAAAAAATTTAACAACACGATTAACCTTCAGAAAGACACAGAGAATTTAAATTCTATATATGATTTGGTTATTAAGGCTGCTTAGTTAGTTCGTTTTCTAATATCACGACGTTAATGTCCAACAAACATAGGATGATTTTTAGTATGAATTTTATTATGTAGAAGTTTGTCAATTTATTTCTTAGCATGTATGTTTTTATTTAATTAATTTATGTACATTGGTTTACGCTATTTATCATTTTTTAAAAGTGTGCTTCGTATTAATAATTTATCAACATTTATAATTATTACTTTTTGATTGTAGACTTGATAAGAACCTGAACTAA